AATTAGGTTTCGTGATGTTTTATAATTTTATATTTATTTTTGTGTAACTTACTCTTAGTGATTATGTCGTGTAATCTGATTTACATAGTAGAGTCATAATTAGTATTATAAAAATGATCTACATATACTCTACCCTTAATATATCCTTTCGTTTTTCACTATAATATTTTGCTGTTGCCTTATGAATTTCAGAAAAATAAACTTCATGGTTGGGAAATTCTTTCCGTAAAGCGCTCTGAATTTGTAGCAGCTTTAACTTAATAGCATTCATATAAAATTCTACCCTTTCATACATTTCTTGGGTAAGTTCACTATCATTAAAAAATTTTGTTCTATAAGAGGACAAGTCATAATTATGAGTATTGTCTAATATAGTAATATAAACATTTCCATTAGGATTATTCTTCTGCGGTTGTGACAAATTTATATGCCACGGACATTTGATATATTTTGTGCTTGTTTCTTTAGTCAATTGTGTGTTTTTAGGTTTATATTCACCACTATGTTCACACAACATTGTTCTTTTTCGTATAATTCCATTAGAATTCTTTTTAACACGTCCTTTCCTTAGCTTAAACCCTTCATATTAAGAATATAGTTCTAATGTATCAAATGCTTTTTCCCAACTTTGAAATACATTTCTTCATATGGCTTCTCTTTGGAACTGCCCAATTCGATGTCTTTATTTTCTTGAACAACTACTGAATCACATATTGGTCCATTAAATTCAAAATCGTATATCGGCTCATCAGACTCAAGAACATGTGTTGAATTACCAAACTCAAGATTACTGAGATTTTTGAAATTGGATGTACTTTCATTATGTGCCATCTATTTTTTGGATTTAAAAGGATGTAAATATAGAGAATAAGATACTATCACAAACCCTCTAGTATTACCAACTTAAAAAACTTTGCTAAAATGTAATATAAATATGCCCAAACCCTAACCTTGATTCTAGTAGTGAAATTTTTCTAGGTTGGCAATACTAGGGTCATAATCAATATATTCAGATTAAATTAAGAGGTTTAAACATTACCTCATTTTTAAAATCTATGTTGTTTTGTTACTATACTTTGCTCATCACTATCTGTAGTTGCTAGGATCGTGTTTATTACTAGATAATTTATTTTATACCAGAAATATATTGTGTCTTTGTTCTGGTTATTGGCTATATTTTGTAAGTGTATTTGATTCAAAATTAAAGATACTAAGTTAAAAGTATAAGCTAAAAGTATCAGTAGCAAGTTAAAGATAGTAAGTTAAAGGTAGTAAGTAAGTTAAAGGTAGTAAGTTAAAGGTAGTAAGTTAAAGGTAGTAAGTAAATTAAAGGTAGTAAGTAAATAAGTTAAAGGTAGTAAGTTAAAGGTAGTAAGTTAAAGGTAGTAAGTTAAAGGTACATCAGCAAATTTAATAGGGCGTAATATTGCGCAATAATTTACGAAGCGTAAGAAAACCGTAATATTACGTAAT